GATCTAGTTCACGTTGGTTCCGGCCTGCGCAGCACGGGCGTGCTTCATAGCGCATGGGCTGGAGTGTGCTTTAGTCTGGAAGTCATGCTAGTGGAAGCACGGGGTGTTGCTAGGCAGCACGGGCTAATTGATTCCCTGAGGCACGGGCGTGCTACTAAGCACAGGCAGGGCGGCTGCTTTCTTTGGAAGTCTTTGCTAAGAATGCCATGGGCGTGCTTTAGGCTGACACGCCCCCTGGTCCCATTGTAGCACGACCATGGCCTTTTGACACCACCCTGGCACGTGCTCTCTTCTGTTTCTCTCCTTTGGTTTCCTTAGGCTCTAGCACGGTTTGTGCCTTCTAGCACGGCACTGGCCGTGCTAGAAGCTAAGTTGTCTTGCATTGTTAAAGTTCTTTTCTGCGCCAAATTCCTACAATTTTCTCTTTAGTTGCATTGTAAAGTTCTTTTCTGCGCCAAATTCCTACAATTTTCTCTTAGATCAAGCGGATTAAGATTCAAGGAAGCTTTGAACACAATTATACTAGAGGTGAATTAAAATCAAATTAAAGTAATAAAACTGAAATTCTAATAAAAACTATATTAAAAACACTATGAAATTAACACCTATCAGTGGTGAAGTGATGGGATGCTAATAAGATCTTGAATTTATTTAGTGCTAGGGATGTTTGGGTAATCCTAAATATTTCTCTTACTTCTGTTTGGTTGGATTTGAAGGAGGGATGGGGGAATGAGTTGAGGAAGGACGAGGGTAAATAAGGGAAGCCTTACCCTCCTTTACCTCTCAAATCTCTAATTTTGCTACACCCCAATTCGAGGTGTAAGGAGAGGGAGAGGTAACTAAATATTTTTGTACTACTTTTAATTATTTACCCCTCTCTTTCCCTCGTTCCAAACACAAAGAATATGGATTATCTCTTTTTACAATTCCACTAATTCACCCCTTTTCAAACATCAATATTATTTTATTATAGCTCTCCCTACCCTTCCCCCTCCTTACCCTTCTCGTACCCTTTCCATTAGTATTGGGCATAGGGAGGATAACCTCAATTGGCATTTTGAAAAGAGAGGGATCTATAGCATTAAATCGGGGTAGTTTGTGTCTACTAGGTTATTGGATAGGGAGGGGTTTTTGTCTAATGAAGATTTTTGGAGTTGAGTATAGTGAATGGAAGTTCCTCCTAAGGTTTGGGATTTTTCAAAGAGGGGTTTGAGAGATGTATTGCCCACAAGAGAGAGATTGAGTAGTAGGAAAGTTAATGTTATTATTCAATGTCCGTTTTGGCAATCTGTAGAGGATATTGATCACGTGTTGGTGGGGTGTGTGGGGGCTAGGGCGGTGTGGAGACATGGGGACTTTGTCACTCCAACTAACCATAATTTTAAAGCATTTTTTGTGCAGGTCCTGACGTTAGTGGACAGGTCGCGTCTCAACCTGTTTTCGATGCTAGTTTGGAATATCTGGCAGTCGAGGAACTCTCACGTTTGGGAAAACAAGCACGTCCCTGTTTCCAAATCCATGCAACTATTTGCATGAATGGACTTTAGCAAAGGCAAGGCTACTAACCCATGCCAATCCCTCAACGCACATGTTGCTATGTGACCGGGCCCCTTTTGATGTCACTAATTCAACAGACTTGTTGGATTTCGTGGATGGTGCGATTTTTCAAGCTGCTGGATTGCTCGGTTTTGGTGCAATTTTCAAGGACAAGGAAGGTCTGTTTTTAAGAGTTATTTCTGGTTACTATGAGGGTAGGAATTCCCTGCTTTTAGTGAAGCTCTTGCTTTACATAGGAGTCTACAGTTTGTAAAGGATCACATGCCAGGAAGAGGTGTGCTTTTTATAGATTCGCAACTTGTTTCTTTAGCTATAACTTCTAATTTCTTAGATTTGTTTGAGTTTGGTCTTATTATTTTGGATTGTAAGTCTCTTTTTAATGATAGGCTTGATGTCTCTATTAAGTGGGTTATGACGAGCGGAAATGTAGGTGCTCATTCTCTCATTAGAGCAGCCTACTGTCTTGCCTGTCTCCAATTTTGGGATGTAGATTTCTATTCCTTGAGTTAATATAATTGTTCTCTTACAAAAAAAAAAAAAAAAAAAAAAAAAAAAAAAAAAAAAAAAAAAAAAAAAAAAAAAAAAAAAAAAAAATTGCAATTGATATAATAGATTGTTAGGCTTTAATTAATTTTATAGTTTAAAAACTTTCTCATTTTAAATCTCACTTAATTTTTAGTTTTATTATGTATTATTTTAAAAAATTTAATTTAATATTTTCTTTGAAGGGTTAAAAATTGAAAAGTCTGTCACCAAATTCAAAGATGAAGGGACATTAAAATTATAGGATAAGACTTGCCTATATAGTAAAGAAAAAAGAAAAAAACATTGTGAAATCACATATTCAAAATTTAAATTTAAGTTTTAAATTTTGACTTTAACTGCAATAACTATCATAATTTAAATCTTGCTGACCATGTGAGACTTGTAGCAATTGCATTTGCTAGTCCACATGAAAACTTATTGTATGGATCATACTTAACTGTATGTATTTATTATTCTCTTTTCATTGTATATAAATAAGTGTTACATTTATATATATTAAATTGTAATTTTTTTATTTTTACCGTGAACAAATGACGAACATTAATTATTATTCCTCTATTATTATATAGATAAAAATTCTAATTAGAATGCTTTTTAATCTGTAATGATTGTTGACTTAAGTTGATATAGAATTATTAAGCATAAAATGTCACTTTTACCCATATATATAGCAAGGCAAACCATATGTAGCAATGCAAAATGTAACTTTAAGTCCCCACTAAAAATTGATAGGTTTTGAGATAAGAGAGATTTGAAATTTGAAATTCAAATATTTATCTCTCATCATTTAATAACCCTAGATAAAGTATTAAGTGAATGAATCTATCAATACACGTGTTGGTAGAATTTAATTTAATTATGTTAAATTTCATATAATTTGAATTTTCTTTTCTCTTTTATTCTAAATATAAAATTTTTGAATTTATAAGTGAATTCTCCAAAAATTTTGGAACTCATTTATTCCAGACAAGAGTTGAGCTTTCTTAGTTTTAATTTTGCTTTGATAAGTTTTGCTCTATATGGCTTCATTTCCATTTCATATGCTTATCTTTCTTCTATATTGTCCTAGGACAGAATTTGACCATCTGGGTTCACTACACGTGTCATTCTTTCTTCCAAAACAGTTCCTTTTTCTCCTAATATACCCTCTAAGATTTATTAATGTTTCGATCGAACCGGTTGATGTGGGAATCCATCGGCTAATTATTTGTATTATTTTGGAAGAAATCAATGATGGGTTTAACTCTTATCTTTTAATCATAAATAAGTAATTAGTAATTGATTTACAAATTAATAGAGAATTATAAAGTTCAAAAGATAAAAATGTATAATACAACATACCTTATACATTTAATTAATACATTGATATGATAATGTGGAGAAAATTAATTAGGGTTTAGCAAACCAAATATAAGTGAATGAAATTCCAACTATTTTTTTAAAAATAAAAGTTGAATTAAATTGAACAGTGAATAAAAATAAAATGGAATCGAATCAATTTGATTTGGTTAATTGCTTTATTTTTATTTTTATAAGTTTGGACTTATTTTTACTATTACAGTGATAAAGAAAATTTTGATTTTCAAAATTGAATCATATTTTTTAAAAATCAAATTAAATAAATTCACTTTCGTCAATTTAAATAACTAAGTGTGATCGTTGAAAAGCAAAATTTCAATTTTTTTATTTTAGAATATTTTTTATTCTTTGATAAAAATAGCATTACTATATTATATTGTATTACCGTATAAATATGTATATATTTCCATTAATATGTATATATTTTCATGTAATACACATATATTACCGTATAATAGTATTATCATATTTTATTGTATTACCATATCATAGGTATATATATTACCATATTTAATATATATATATAAATATATAATATAATATTAAGGTAGATATTGCATATATTAAATATGGTAAGAATGTAATATTTTAACGTAATATTAAATAATTGATTCTAGTTATAAAAATTTAGAACCGAATAATATTACTATATTTAATATATACATAATATGGTATTTAATATAATTTCTTGTTTTATTGAATAAAATTTTAAATGTCCTTTGAATATCAAATTATATTTACATCTAGCGAGTAACACATCTATAAATTTAGATATATGATATTTGATATATAATTAAAATAATTAAAAAATAATTTATTTATTTTTTATTAAATGAACAATAATTTAATTATATTATCAATCCCAAAAAATTACTATAATTAGGATTTTTCATCCTTAAAATAAAAGTAATATAACAAAATGTAATTAAAAATTATATTTATCAATTTAATTTTTATGTCATGCTTAAAAATTTTTGTGGTAAGTAACAAAAACTTACGTTATTAAATTATAATTAGCGCATTTTTCAAAATTTAAAATTTAATATGTATGATATAATTTATTTAGACTAATGAAATTATTTTTAATTTTTAAATTTTTATTAGAGTCACATAATGATTTAAAAATGATGGAGATCGTTTATTTGTGTTCTTTAATTGTAAGTGAGGGTGCTAATGCTACAAAATGTCACAATTTTGTTAAAATTGATAAAAAGTTCAAAATAGAGTAAAATTGCTCAAACATGTAAAGTTTCCAAAATATTCTGTATATTATAGATTTTATTCACATATTAATTTCTTTCAATAAAATTTTCCTTCCTAAATAGAGCTTAAAGATTATTATAATCACACAAATCCAAACATATCTAAAAGCATATTTCCATATATATATATATATATATAATCTTCCAAAATTAGTCCCTAATTAAACGAAATTACGAAATTATTGCAATGAGCGTTTTAAGATAATTAAAATCAAATCAAATTGATTTTTATCATATCAATATAAATTTATCTTTGAAATCATAGTAAACTTCCTTCCATACTAAACTTATTTATCATGGCTATAAATAACCTCTCAAAATCAAACAAAACCAGAAAAACCCTAAAACCAGAAAATCATGGATTTCACAAGCAAATACCAACTGATATTCCGTACAGCCATTTTTATGCTCTTAATTCCTAATTTAAGAGCAAAAGGTTCTCCATCAAAATTGGTTCAAGACATTTGCAGTGAAACACAGGAACTCTCACAAACAAAATTTGAAGATTGTGTCAATGCTCTTGAGATAGATCCAAAAACTAACTCTGCAGATCTCAAAACTCTTGCCCATATTAGCCTCCAATTAGGGATTTCTAAGGCCAATGATACCCAAACTTTTATTGGAAATCTTCTTACAAGCAATAAAAATCATGCTTTGCAGACTTGCTTGTTTTGGTATCAAGCTGTGATTGCTTCATTTAAAAGTGCAGATAAAGAAATAGAAGAAGATCCTCTTACTGCTAATTACGATGCGAAAATTGCTGGTGATGATGCTAAAGAATGTGAAGATGAATTGACAAGAGAAAAAGCTCAAATCCCATCTACTATTACTACTAATATTACTACTAGAAATAATTTGGTTCGACTTTATAGTTTTATTTCATTTGTTATCACAAATCGTCTTTGATACGTCATGGCCTGAATTGGGCCAAGCACGATAAATAAAATAATATATTTTAGTGTTTTGATATTTATACGAGCATGTATGATTCAGGAGATGCGTGTCATCAAACATTTGCTGTATTACATCATTTACTCAATTTAACACTTATCCCTACCTCTGTTTTTTTTCAGTTTCAGACAATATAATAGTTATTGTGGAGGTTCAACATTTCTTCCTTTCGTAGAGGCTTCCCTTTGAATTAATACATCATGTATTATTAAATTGAAATTGGAATGATTCTATAATCAATTGAAATTGAATATAAGAAATAGTTATATTTTGCATTATACTGGAAGAAATGTTAAACGATCATTGTGAATAATTTTATAATCGATATGTATAAATGGACAAAGGTCTTGTGTTATGGAATTTAGGACATTTGATGATGTTGAAATTAAAGACTACATATATGTGCAGATGGACGAGTATAGCTATAAGCTCGACAGGCTCAATGAGTTTCTCAACTGAATATCGTTAAACTCGAGCTAAATTCAAGCCGGCTGAACTTGTGGTAACAGTGTGGTAAGTCATTCTCCTCTTTTTTTTTTTTTTTTTTTTTTTTTTTTTTTTTTTAGTGTGGCGTAAAGTTTCATTCTCCTCTCTTATTATTCTATTTTATTTTTTTTTTTTTTTTTTTGTTTTAAAATCCCATGTGGCTAGATTGTCACGACCCTAACCAACTCAAGTTACTTGATCTGTCCATAATGAGAAATAAATAAATAAATAAACAGTGTCTTTATCCTGACGTCTTATCCTATTATTTTTGGCCAGTTCTCCAATCGTTAATTAACCTTAAGTATGGAGGGAGATCAGGCAATGAAGATGTGACATCAGAGCGTTCCAAAACTAATTTTTTGTTTCTATCGGCAATAAAAAAATTAACCCATAACTAAGCATTGAAAATTGTTAAACAAGAAACTTGACAAAAACAATACAGTTTATGATTATGAAATCCTCTCTTTTCTTTGAACTAAGAAAAAGAGATGCAAAATATTGCCAGATATCACTCACAATTTAGTAAAATTGAAGTTACGACACGATAAAATAATCTAAGAACCACCTAATCGGATTAAGGTCGGCTCAGAGTTCACACAATTCGATTTGGCTGAAAGTTTTTTTTTTTTTTTTTTTTTTTTTTTTGTTTTTTTAAATCCATGTGCTAGATTGTCACAGACTAACCAACTTCAAGTTACTTGATTGTCATAATAAATAAATAAATAAATAAACATTCTTTCTGAGTCTTATCTATTATTGGCCATCAAATCGTAAAACCTTAAGTATACAAATGAGATGTGACACAGAGCGTTCCACTAAATTTTTTGTTTCTATCGGCAATAAAAAAATACACCCATAACTAGCTTGAAATTGTTAAACAAAAACTTGACAAAAACAATACAGTTAGATTATGAAATCCTCTCCTTCTTTTGAACTAAGAAAAAGAGATGCAAAATATTCCAAAAAAACTCACCTATAATTAAGCAACAGTAAAAATAACTACAACCAACCTATGGATTGTGGCTGAGTTAACAATTGAGGCTGAGCATATTGGAAGAGCTCTCGGATACAATCCCAATTAAACGCACTTGCAATGAGGGGCGAAGAGCTTTAACTGTGATTAAGCCCCGATCATATTAGGCAGTTTCTAGATATACGGTCTGGATACCAGTGGTTACACAAAAAAACCAAGTTAAAAAGTCCACTAAAGCGTCAACATTCTTCTTATCTAAAAGAAATCAGTAAATACGTTCTTATGTCTCCTAACCAAGTTGAATGAAATATGAGTACAAACTAAAGAGAGAGCTTCTATTTTATTAAAATTTTTCTCCAAATCTAAGGTCGCTTGTCTTTACCTAGCATTCAAGTTACTGTATTTCTAGAATTTGATTCAACAACTTTTAAAATCCAAAGAAGCAAAAAGCTGAATGGCTTCAAAAATAACAAGAATCTCAGCTTTATTAGAGTCCAAAATTCCAAACTTTTTTGTAGAAGATGCAAACAATTAACTTCACCCATTGAATTTCTCAAGCCACTCCTTGTTCCTACAGACTCGGTTTACTGAGAGCTGAACCATTTACATTAAATTTGAAAAACCTGGGCAAAGGTGCAATCCAACCAACAAAATCATGATCAGGATGCCTATTCCCATTTGGACCATGTAAACTATCACAAACAAGAAGGGGAAACGAAGCCCAATATGAAAAATTGGCATATAAATTTCTATTCTTAAATTTAATAATTTCGGAACTCTTTAGCTTAATAATATCAAGAATAGCCAAAGCATCTACAATTTCAGTTGAAAAACTGCTTTGTTTCTTCTTAGCCACAACGACCAAAGAATAATGAAAAACACCATATTCCAAACTATATGTGAACCAAGTGTAGAGACAAAACTGTCCCATTGCCAGTCAAAATTGATCACATAAGGAGGGCTTACTGCTGAAACACCCCACCACCTAAAAACCAAATACCATACTTCACTTGCCAATGGACATAAGAGCAAAACATGATTAGTGGTTTCAATCTCTATATTACACAAAGACCAATTTGTTTTGCTAGGATTGACAATAATATTTCTTATGAAAAAGTTCAATTTGCAAGGAATCATAATGAGGAAGCATTTCCAAGCAAAATTTGAAATTTTTGCAGGAATAAGATAGGACCATAGATATTTCAAATTGAAATCAATACCATAGTTTTCAACTTCGTTTCGCTCAATCAAAGAATAAAAATTCTCAATAGAAATTGCACTTTTTTTTTTTTAATCATGAGTCCAAATTACTTTATCTTCTTGATCTGGAATTAAAAAAATATCATTTAGCTCTGATTCTAATTGTTTCTAGGTATCCGATTCAAAACATCTCAACTCCCTTTTCGATTCAATATCCTATTTCCACAAGCCATCCAAAATTGTACCTTATTGATGAATGCTAGCTCTTTTATTTGAGGCGAGTCTGAATAGTCTAGGATGAATAGCTCTTAAAGGGATTTCATGTACCAACCAAACATGAATTTGTTTTCCGTTACCAACGATCCATTTGAAAACAATTCTCAAATATCTGCAATTTGAGGTTGATTGGAACCAATAGAAACAATATCCTGCAAAAGAGGAACAAGTTTTTTCCATAAATTCAACTTTGAGTTGGATGTAGAGAAAACGTACTCTTCATATTTTGCTATCAATATTTTTTCCATAAAAACCTTTTTCAAATTTGAACATCCACCACCATTTACCAAGAAGAGCCATGTTCTTAAACCACCTGCCTTTTTGCTAGTAGAAATGGTCTTCCATGCTACCCAATTTAATGGTTTTTCGCCTTCCATTCCCTTTCCCCACAGAAATTGTCTTTGAATACATTCAATCCGGGAGATGACTGAAACAGGAGCTTTGAATATTGACATATAATACAAGGGAAGAGGGCGAAGTACAGACTTTATCAATGCCACTTTACCCACCACAAAAAGATATCTTGCTTTCCATCTCGTTAGTTTTGATTTGAATCTTTCAATGATCGGTTGCCATGATATTATCTTTCTTGGGCTACCGCCAATTGGGATGCCTAAATATTAAACGGAAAGGCATCCTTTTGAGCAATTCAATGAATTAGCCAAATTGCTCAACCCCTCTTCAGATAAGTTTAACCCGAATAATTTACTCTTGATAAAATTTATCTTTAAACCAGAAGCAAGTTGAAAGCACAAAAACAGTCTCTTTAAATTTCTCATTTGCTCCAAATTAGCTTTGTAAAAAATTACCGAATCATCAGTGAATTGCAAATATGATATAGCCTCCTCCAAGCTCCCACTTTTACTCCAGAGAGAAAACCACCAATTGCTGTGTTATTTAGAATGACATTTAACCTCTCTGCAGCTATAAGAAAAAGAAAGGGGGGAGAGAAGGTCCCCTTGTCATTAAAAACTCATTTGTAGGAGACTCATTCACAAGAATAGATAACTTTGAGTTGCTTAAGCATTCTGACATCCACAATCTCCATTTAGGACCAAATCCCATCTTTTCCATTGAGTCTAGAAGAAAATGCCAATTGATACAATCATATGCCTTCTCGAAGTCTACTTTAAAAGTGACTCCTTTGCTTTTCGCTTTTTAAGCTCATGGACAATTTCACTGCAAATCAAAATCCCATCCATCATCTGTCTACGACTAATAAAAGCAGATTGTGGTTCACCAACAATACTACCTATTACCTTTCTCAACCGCAATGTTAATAATTTAGCAATGATCTTGTATACACTGCTTATTAGAGAGATGGGTCTGTAATCATTTGGGCATTGAGGAGAGCTCTTCTTAGGGATAAGAGTTATAAAACTAGAATTTATCCTTTTATCATTCTACCAGAAGAGTAGAATCCATAGAAAACTTTGCATAACTCTTCCTTAACAATCTCCCAAATTTTTTTGTAGAATTCATATATGCATCGGGTTGAGCTTTCGTCAAGTCACAGCTCCATAGTGCCACTTTTATCTCCTCTTCTGAAAACGGCATCTCTAGCATAACTCTATCTTCTAAAGAAAGTTTTTTAAAAGAATGGCTAGAAAGAACATGCCTTTTTACACGCCTCTCCCTATAGACACCAGCAAAAAATTGTTTGGATTCCTACTTGATTTTATCCTTGTTTGATAACCAATCACCATCCACATTCAAGCCTCCAATGAAATTCTTGATGTACCTTCTGTTGACCATTATTGAAAAAGTGTGTTTGCATCACCAGCCTTGAGCCAATTTAACCCCAGCCTTTCGCTTGAGAATACTTTCATTATAGCGATGAATCGCCCAAAGCTTGGACGATAAAGCCTTTCTATTTGAAACTTCTTCCTCAGAGAGAGTACCAACCTCAACTTTTAAATCTAATTCGTGAATTGACTTAATAAAACTTGCAATTTCTTCTTGGACAATCCCAAATGTATTTTTGTTCCTTTCTTTGAGTGCTTGCTTTAATCTTTTTAATTTGCTCAAACAAACAAAGCCATCCCACCCAACGATCCCATCCTTCTTCCAATTCTCCTCGACTAGTT